CATGGATTAACCTTGGAAACATCATGTTAAATGAAAGAAGCCAATCACAAAGAACGATTATTATATGATTCCATTTATATGAAATGTCCAGAATAGGCAAATCTGAAGAAACAGAAAATAAATCAGTAGTTCCCAGTAGCTGACAAGGCGGGCAGGGGACAGGAGAAAACTGTGTGCTGATGGCCAGGGGGCTCAGAGTTTCTTCTGTGAAGAATAAAAACATTCTACAATTGATTGTGGTGATGGTCACACAACTCTGACTACACTAAAAGCCACTGAATTGTATACATTAAATGAATGAAGTGAAAAGTAGGTAAACTGTATCTCAATGAAGCTGTTAAGAATATTTTAGAAAAAAGGATATTAAAAACAGACAATGTAAAAATTAAAAAGAAAGCAGCAGTGGCTGGCTGCATTAATACCAAACAACACATATTTCAGAAAAAAAGAATATTACTAGGGATAAAGAAGAACCTTCCATAATAACAAATGGGTCCTTTCATCAAGAAGATACAGCAATGCTTAATGTATATGCATCCAGTAAGAGAGCTTCAAAATACACATAGCAAAAACTGAAAGAACAGAAAGAAGACATATGCAAAGCCAGTTATAATAGGCAACTTCAACACTCCTGTCAATAAATAATACAAAATCATAAGGATAGAGAAAACCTGCACAACACCAAGTATATCTAAATGACAGTTAAAGAATGCTCTCCTCAATAACAATATATATTATTTTGAAGTGTGTATGTAATTTTCACCAAAACAGATCATATGCTGGGGCGTAAAACAAGTCTCAAAATATATAAAAGGTTGCAATCATACGTTTTACATTTATGAACACAATGAAGTGAAATTACAAATCAATTTTGATAAATCTGGAAAATCCCCTAATATTTAGAAATTAACCAATGAACTTCTAAATAAGTTGGTGAAATAAATTCTAAAAATTACAAAAGAAATTAGAAAATATTTGAAATAAATGTAAAAAATCCCCACAACATCAGAAAACATGTAAGATGCCGTCAAAGCACTGCTTAGAGAGAAATGTACAGCTTTATATGACTACATTAGAAAACAGAACCAAAATCAATGCCCTAGGCCTCCACCTAATAAAGCTTAAAAAAGAGCAAATTATTTACAATAGCCAAGACATGGAAGCAACCCAAGTGTCCATCAAGAGATGAATGGATAAAGAAAATATGAGATATATATTATGAGATATATATATATATATATATATAAAACTGAATCACTTTGATGTACACTTGAAACTAACACAACATTGTAAATCAACTATACTTCAATTTGTAAGAGCAAATTAAACCCCAAGTAAGCAGGAGAAAGGAAATACTAAAGATACCAGCGAAAATCAGTAAAATAGAAAAACAAGGAAAAAAACTCAGTAAAACCTAAATTACTATTTTCAAAAAAATAATAAAATTGACAAACCTCTAGCCAAAATAATCAGAGAGACAGAGACAGAAACAAAGAGAGAAAAGACAAATTATCAACATAAGCAATGAAAGAGAAAGTATCACTATAGATCCTACACTGTTAAAATAATACAGGAATATCATGAATAACTTTTGTTAAGGAATTCAAAAACTTGGATGACACAGACAAATTATTTGAAAGATACAAATAAGCAAAATTTACTCAAGAAACACAAAATGCAAACAGCCGTGTATTTACTTTTAAAATTAAATTTTTAGTTAACAACTTTCTCACCAAAAACAAACAAATCTCCTGGGCCAAGTGGTTTCACTGTTAGATTCTACCAAATATTTAAGGAAGGTAATTGCCAACACTACACAAATTCTTCTGGAAAACCAAAGAGGGAAAACTTTCCAAGTTATTCACGAGGCCAGCATTAATCTGATACCAAAAACAAACAAAGATATTACAAAAAAGAAAACTACAGACAAGCATTTCTCATGAACATAGATACAAAACTCCTCAACAAAATTTTAGCAAATCAAATACCACATCATAATAAAAAGGATAATTTACCATGACCAAGTGGGATTTATTCCATGAATGCAAGTTTGGTTTAACATTCAATACAATTTATCATATTAATAAACTAAAAAAGAAATTTTAAAAAAACATATGATCATCTCACTGACATAGAAAAAGCATTTGACAAAAACAATATTCATTCCTGATAGAAACTTTCAACAACTAGAAATAGAAGGGAACTTCTTCAGCCTTCTAAATGGCATGTACAAAAAGACTATATCTAACATATATGACTTAATGGTTAAATGCTTTCCCCCTAAGATCAGGAACAGGGCAAAGATATCTACTCTCACTACTTCTATTCAACATTGTACTGGAGGCTCTAGCCAGTTCAATAAAACAAGAAAAACAAACCAAAAAGAAAGCATCCCAATTGGAAAGAAAGAAATATACCTGTCTTTATTTGTAGACAAGATAATCAGCTACATAGAAAATCCAATGGAATACACAAAAATGCTACTAGAATTAGTAAGTGATTTAGTAAGGTTGCAGAATACAAGATAAATATACAAATTTAATAGTATACTAGTAATTAATGACTGAAAATTGAAATTTAAAAAGCAATAGCATTTACTTTTTTATTTTTTATTTTTTTGGCTGCACCGCTGCAGCATGTGGGATTTTAGTTCCCTGAACAGAATTCAAACACATGCCCCCTGCATTGGAAGGGTACAGTCTTAACCACTGGGCCACCAGGGAAGCCCCAGCAATACCATTTAAAATAAGCATCAAAAAATACAAAATAATAGGGATAAATATGACAAAAGATAGGTAAGACTTATTCACTAAAAACTAAAAACATTGCTGAAAAAAATTAGAAGACCTAAATAAATGAGAGCATTCATACTGGTGAGTGAGGGGTAAGATGGACCAGCATGGGATACACGAGACCTAGTGAGGTAAGACTGTCTGTATAGGAAGGCAGCATTGCATGGAGTGTCAGAGCAAAAGAGGGATGAGGAGAGCATTCAGGGAAGACAGAAGCATAACACAGGGTATTAGAGCCCAAGTAGAGTAAGGAGGATATAATATAGGAGGGCAACTCAGTGTGCAGTGTTGATACAGCTCAAAGGAGCCCAAGACATATAAACCCACTCTTTGTGCCAGAAAAATGTTGAGCTAGAAATACTGGTGAACAGTACTTATGATAGCCACTCAAATTAAGAGGAGAAATGTGGGTTGTTCATATAATGGGACTACTATACAGCAATTAAAATAAGTGAACTACATCTCTATACATAAATTTAAAAAAAAACAAGGACTGAGAACTATTCATGTAAATGTTTCTAAAAACACAAAATATAACATATGATTTATGGATATTAAAAACATGGACTAGAAGGACACACCAAATTTATGATACTAGTTTCCCCAACGGAGTAGGGAA